CTTGTCTTTCCACCTTTTCGGTTTGCTGCAGCCAACCCACTATATTGTTTGGTTATTTATCGGGAAGCGTAATTATTAATCATCGTTCATTACCGTTAGCCACGTTTCCAAAGCACTCAGCGCCAGGCCATGGAACAGCAGCGAGAAAAGAATGAAATTAGGTTAACAGCTAAATAAGTAAACGTACGGTATTCTAACAGAGCTGCGATGTCTCTTTCCTGCAACCAACTCTCTCCCCCCCAAATTATAGACCCGGCCACAACTAGCTGGAGCGGTTACACCCAGCTTTCCCGAGATCACATTTGGTGGCTCCATTATCCTTAATATGTTTCTATTTTGAAGGCTCTCTGCTGGCAACAGCTACAAGAGGAGTGTGTCCTGAAGCAGGAGGGAGGGGGGAGGTTGCTCTCAGACGTCCCCAATTTGAAGGGAGGTGAGAGGGCTCTTTTGTGGGTATCAAGCAGAGGAGTGGAGGGTATTCAGAGGAGCTCTGTCTTCCCATTATTTATGCTCACAGCCTGCACTAATGACATAGGTAACTTGACAGCATACATCCTATCCGCCCGCTGGAGTGCATCTTGATTGTTCAAACATACTCTTAAAGGTGTCCAATCATTTATCAAATTTAAATGACCGTGTTGCGTTCCAAAGGCCCGGAGCATCCAAATTGCATCCTCACTTCCTAGCAGCCCCTTCCCAAAACCCCACCACTGCACGGGCCAGCGAACAGGAACTGTTTGCAGGGCAAAGTCTCCTTGTCCTGCCTATGCCCAGAAATATGGCATTTCATGATTCTGCCTTTTTTCATTCTCTGCCGTGTCACAAACTCCAATACAAATCTACTAATCCAGCAGGAAATGATGGACTCCAGAAGCCCAACCAATTAAATTTAGACTCATGAAAAGCTCGGTGGCTAGTAAATTATAATTTTTATTAGCTTGAACAATGTTCCCGTAAGAGAAAGTGGAGACTCTCCCATGAATGGCTCTTGTATAATTTATTTAACTTCATGGGCCTTGCCAAAGCCCGGAATATTTTTAGATCTTTCTGTTGTTGGGTTTGGCTTTTTTTTTTTTTTTAAGTGAGTTTCTGGAGGGGTATTTTTAGACTCATACATGTTATTTTAACAGACTTCTTTGCATTTGGACTTCCATATGTCGCACAGCCTCTCCTACCAGGCTGGGCAGGTTTCTAAGAATTGCTGGAGTCAATTTCTTAGGATGCGCTATTTGCACCAAGGCTCTGCCTGCCACTAAATTAGCATCACCCAGCGTGGATAGTCCTATAGAAAAATTCCACTTCTTATAGGAATAATTAGACATGATGGTGTAGCAATTCCCAGTGGAAAAATGCACATTCCAAAACTGAGCTTTAATTTCCCAGTGTGTGTGTTAACCGCAGCTGCCTTGCATAACAATGTATATCTTACAGTTCTTGTGCAAAAGATCAACCCTGGCAGTTCCTAGCTGTTAGCTGTGCATTGCCTTTGATGTCTCATGCTACTTGTCATTTATAAGTAAAGATGGTTAGAGTCTTTAGAACATGTCTTTGAACAGTAACTCTTTTAGCACCTATTTAATGCTGGTAACTGTGTTGCAAAAACACTCACTGGTGTCATGCAGTTAATGAGGTATTTACTAAAATGTATTTTCTTTTAAAAAAAGAAGAACACTAAAGGCAGTGGGGGGAAACCCCTTTACGGGGTTTGTCTCACCAGGAAATTACTGGATTTAATGATAACTAAATCTATATGACGATCTATTCTTCCTTGCAAGTTTCAGGGCTTGGACGGTGGTGGAGTAAAAGATGGAAGTACTCCACCAGAAATTCTCGGCTTGCAGTCCTTTATGGTCCCTGCTAGAGACGGCTGCCATTCCTGATTACTATTAATCTTTATTAATTAGTATGATGATTATATTTGTGTTTCTAGCTGCAGCAGTTCACAGATTATTTCTTATTGTCATTTCCATTCAAGCTAAAACGTTGAAGCATGCAGCTACCTTGGAGGGGCGGCAGGGGAGAGAGAGACAATGTTTATATTTGGAGGTTTCCCTAAAAGATAAAAATGTCTCTCTTACTAAATAAGAGTCTACAGCAATGTTGAAATTTCAGCAGCTTGAGGCAGCGGACTGCTAAATAACCCTGCTCCCCTCTCTCTCTCTCTCTCTCTCTCAACTTTCACAGCTTTGACTTTGGACCATCTGCATTAGAGACAAAAAAATCTACCACTGCACTAAAAATAACGCTACAAAACATTTTAATTGCACCTTTTGTGACAAGGTTACTATAACAGCACTTTACCATAAAATTTCTACAGCAGGATTATAAAACTATCAGCACTCTGTTTTAAGAAAAACAATTTGTGAAACATTAAAAGCTAACTTCAAAATCAAGGTCTTTGCAGCGGACTAAAAAAAAAAAAAAAAAAGTACAGTTTGAGGGGGGAGAGGGAAGCTTTCCGTGGGGAGAGAATTCCACAGCAACGGGAGTGTTACAATAAATGCTCGATCAACTATGTATGCCTTCTGGAATTTTGCCTGACTAGAAGAATGACTGGACATAAAAACAAAGCTCATTCTGAGCAATGCTTTTCTTATTAGAACCAATATACCCCCAATGGATCTGTCTCATTCGGGGGCCTTCCGAGCCGTACATTTCAATTTTTATCTAAATCTCAACCTGAAAATTGAAGGAGTCAAAACAATTCCGTCAGGACAGTTTTTGCTCGTCGTGTTTCCTGAGACATCCCGTGCGTGTGTGTGTGTGTGTTTAAAAGCTGAGAGCAGGGGGTTAAGAGACATTAATAACCTTTTTCAGATTAAAAAAAAAAATTGGCAAAGCTCCATCCAGTCTAGTCGGTATATTCCTACTCAATGGCCTCTGGTCCTTGTAAGGTCGTTCCCTGTATTATAATTAAATACTCAGTGTCAAGATACCATCAATAATTTATTCTACAGGAATCACCAATTTGCTTACCTGCAAATTTTCTCATCTCCCCCGAATTCCCCAATGAGACTTAAACACAACGCTGAGGACTTTAGAAAGGGGGTTTCTCTGAGCTACATGAGTGACTGTGTGCTTGATCCAGGGAAGACTACATGGGGCTTTGGATCAAACCTTCTCTGAAGCGGGATGGGGCACTGTCTGAATTAGGGGCACTAACCAAGGAGTACCGAAGAAACAAGATTTAAACACAAATCTGACTATTTGCCCTGTTTGTCCAGTTTTATATTTTAAACTAAACCTTGGTGTCGTTTAGGAGCAACCGTTTCTGAAAGGCTGAGCTGCAATTAGCATATTGCAATTTACAAAAAGAAAAGGAAGGGGAAGGGAAGAAATAGTAAGAGGAAATACACATTTCATCCAGGGAAAATTCTGCAAATATATGATGTAATTATTTAAAATACAGCACATTTAAGAATAAGTATGTCTAGATCATTGCGTTTGTTAGTGGCACTTTTTTTCATCTCATCATGCTAAAAGCCCATTAGTAATTATGCAATTTTTGTGTGTCATTTTTTTCTTTTTAGGAAATTTACAGTCGTCTTTTGACTGCACTCCCAGATGACAATTCTCCATTCTAGTCCATCTCATGCCGTCCTTTTTAATCCACACACTAATTGTAATCCCATTAAAGCAGATATAATTTTATTAGTATTCACAGTTCATCAAGCTAGCAATAATAACTCTTACTGCTGAGTTTAAAAAAACTGCAAAACATTTACTCTGATGTTTCAAGCAAACTGTAAACAAACCGAGCCAGCTATGTGTTTGTGTAAGACTAGCATTACATCCATACGTCCATAAATATATCTCATACATATACACAATGCACACACAGCTTCCCACAGACATTAAAAAACAGCTAACGGATTTCAAATCCAGCAGTCTGTGCACAAAAACTTTGAGGACAAAAATATATTCACTTGTGGGTTAATACGGAGGCAGCTGAGGGTAGCACATCAGAATTCCACCATTCCCACTTGCAAATACATTTGCAGAGTAAATACGGAGGAAATAAGATTTCTAACTCCAATCTTTCATTTCGCACACAGCAGAAGCTCACTTTAAAATCCAGTCCCACAGTGGATCAACCCTTTGGAAATCCGAGGAGCCCACAGTACTCAGAAGCAAAGGCAAAATGTGAGGGCCAAATCCTGAAGCCTCCCTTCCATTTTCCCTTCCTCCTTTCTCAGGCAACTTTCCCACTGAGTGAGGCCTGAGAACAGCACTACAGTGGGGATTGACCCGCGCCCTTTCGCTATACACTAGTACTGAAGACAATGAATATACACCTTACCTCCACAGAAACCCTGAGCTGCTCATGCATATAATTGACCGGTTGATAGTTTTTATTGTGTTTTGTTTAATACTAAGCCTGTAGCTAGTTGGTACCTGGTAGATTCCCCCTCACCCCTCTCTGGCTGCAGGCGGCTCTGAAGCATTAGTTGATTAAAAGGGCACTGCAGATGCTCTCCCAAGACCCTATTGCATCGAACTGGGTCTATTTTTCTTGCCACACTTTGTATGCCTTTAGCAGGATCCCGGAGGCACTTGTTAAGGCTATTGCATGCCCTGCAAACCCATTCGCACCCTGACACTTCGGGGCTTTATATAGAAACAGGGTTTTCTAGCCCTACACCACCCGCCCTATTAACACATCACTGCCCCTAATCTGCCAGGCCCCAGCCAGCCCCCCGCTCCCTTCCACCGAGCCGTCTTTTTGTTCAGCCCCTCCAAATGCCGCCTGGTTCCCCTCCCCGACTTTCTCCGGGCGGTTCGGGCAGCGAAGGCTTTTCGCTGGGGGTTATTCTCCTTGGGCTGCGGTAAGAAGGGGACGAACCGCCTCTCGCCTCCACCAGCGGCTGCGAAGATCGGCTCCCGCTCGGGAAACAGGGCCAGCTAAAGCCCCCGGTGGAACCGGGGCAGCCCGGCGCGGAGATGCGCTCTCCCTCCAGCGGCCCGGGGACCCGAGCCCGGCGGCGGGGGACGCCACTGACCTGTGTGCGCCGCCATGGAGATGGGCGCGGGGAAGAACTTGCCCGGCTGGAAGTGGCCCGGGTGCTGCACGGGGCTGTGGCCGGACGCGGCCAGGCGGCCGGCGCTGCTGCGGTGACCCACGCTGCCGCGCTCGGCGAGGAGGTGAGGCGGGGGCGCGAACTCGCGGCCGTCCATGCCGGGGCCCGCGGCACGCAGCCCGGCGGGCGGGCGGCGGCGGCTCCTCAGCGGGGCAGCGCTCCTCCTTCAGGGCTCCGGCGGGCTCGGGCCCCGCGTCTGCTCCTGGCGTCCCGGCTCATCCTCTGCAGAGGGGAGAGAGAGCGGGTGAAACCGGCTGCAGCCCACCTGGGGGCCGGGAGAAACCCGCGGCCCTGCTCCGGGCTGGTCACCGAGCCGCTGCGCTGATGGGGGCCACGGGAGGGTTTTAAAAATACAGAACCCGCGCAGGCCCCCTCCGCGCAGCCTCTCCCCCCACCCCGCACGGCAGAGCTACATTTCATCCAAAACGTGAATTGCATCTGCGAGGGAGAGACAACCCCCCCCCCCGCGCGGGCCAGGCCTTTGGGGGCTGGGTTTTTAACAAAATTCTCCCCCCGTTTCTGGGAAACGGTGTTTCTCGGCGCTCCTGCCTCCATGGCCAAGCCAGCTCTGCGCGGGGCCGATCCGCGGGCGCAGGGAGCTGGGGGCGCTTCTCCCGAACTCTGCCTTCGGGGGGGGTGGGGTCAGTTCCCTACCGCAGGAGCCGGGCCTGCGCCCCCCACCCACCGATCCGGGCTCCCACCAGACAGGGAAGTTGCGCTATTGTCTCCAGTGGCTCCCCGGGAAAGCCAGTGCAAGGGGCAGAATCGGTGACGCTGGCCCCGAAATAAATCTCTCCCTCCGGCCACCTCGGTGGCAAACCCCGCATGCGGCGGGCACGGCCGGGGCTTTAAATTCTTCTAGACCCGGTTCCCAGCCCAAACAGTTATGTAAGGTGCTTCCCGGGCATTCACTGCGTTTGCACACCAGGCTGGTTGGCTCGGGCCCAGCGCCTGTAACATTAGGCCAAAAGGGGGTGGGGGTCTTGCTTCATAAATGTGTGTGTGGGGGGGGGGAGCAAAGGACGAGGTAGCATCTAAGAATTTCCCCTAGCTCCCGACTCCAGCATTGTGCGCGCGTGGATAAATAAATACAAACAAAGCACCAGCACAACCGGGACAATTCTGCTACTGCCCCACAGTTCCTTCCCGTCCACATTCCAGCCCCCCCACCCCAGGCCAGGCCAGGGCTCCCAGACACTCGGGTTTTGCATCTCTAATCTTCTCCTTCCATCTGTATTGTTTTAACGTTTCATCTCACCTCCAGCCCAAGGAGAGAGGAGAATCCTAGAGTCACTACCCTTAATTGTTAACATTACCGGGGGGAGAAAGTATATTTTTTTAACCCGGATCATAACAACCAAGCAATTAAGATGTTTTTCATTTAGCGAATACCATTTGCAATTGCTATATTTAATGCTTCCAGTCCTACAGTGTCTTATTTGCAGACTATTTTGTGTTTGATTTAATCTATAACCGAAAACACAATGTAGTAAGTGAATACATATTTGCACAGCTGATAAGTATTTTATATATATATTTAGATGGGGAGCTTTTGCATTGTAAATAAATTGGAAGTAACACAATGAGCTCTCTTTGGCTTACAACTTAATACAAAGGGGGGTGGGTTTTTTCTCCCCCCATTGAGATCATAATCTATCTCTTTTACCCTAACGAATATTTCCTACTTTGCAATTACAGGGAATTATTGGAAGGATCCTTCGCTTTGCAAGAATCTTACGGAAGGGGTTTTTTTCTCAGCAGTCAGCCGAAATCACCTAAAAAGCAGCGGAAATGGGCCTGGGAGAGAATATAGGAAAACACCCACTTCAAAGCAATATACAGAGATGAAATTCACAGGGGGAAAAATTGCAGGCTGCAAGACCGCGCTCAGTTCGCAGTTTCAGCAGCCTGGCGGGGTGAATGGTTTCACATAGCAACGCGGAGGGGAAAGGTTGTTTTGCAGAGGGAAAGATTCCCACTCTCTGATTCATCTCGGGGTCAGATTTTTTAGAAATGAATACAAGGCTCCCAATCCGGCCAGGGCCTGGGGGAGCAGGAAAAGTCCCGGGATCAGTTACAGGAGAGGGGGCCGGACACCCCGCCCCCGGCTTTGTTTGCACAATGGAATTGTTAATGATGATGATGATGATTTGTCAGGATCGTGTCCTGTTTGCAGGCCAGGGTGGAGCAGGCGGCGGCGAAGGGCTGGGGGCCGAGGGGGGGTCACACGCCTCTATTCCCAGCCGCTGTGCTTCTGCCGGAGACCGGCGGGGTTTCGGCAAATTCCGCCCCCCAATCTCCCAACCCCATTCACCAAATCCCCTCCCCCACCCCACCCCCAAACTCTCTCCGTCCGCCGGTCTCCCTGCAGCCAAGGGCAGGCGGGCCGGGGCCGCTCCGAGCCCGCCGCGGCTGGAACAATGCGCGGAAGGAACCAGGAGCGGGAAGCGCTTAAAAATAAACCGCGGGGAGAAGGTGGGAGCAAATCTTCCGCCGCAAGCGGCCCCGAGCTCCGACCCGGCCCAGTCGGTGCAGCCGCCCTCCCGCGCCGCGCCGCGGCAGCGGGCTCCCCGGAGCACGCCCCCGGGATCGGCTCCCCGGCCTCCTCCGCTCCGCTCGCCAGCCGCGATCGCTCTCCGCCGGCAGCCGCTGGGGAGCTGCGGGGATCGGCCTCGCGGCAGGCCCAGCGAGAGCCGGGGTTGGGGCCGGCTGGCCGCGGGTTTCCTCCTGCTTTCTAGGGGAGCTTTGCAAACCCCTCTTTGCACCGAGAGGGGAAAAAGCGCCACCAGCCCCGGCTCCTCGGAAAAGCGGCGCAGCCTGGCGCCGTGCATCCCTCGATCGTGCATTTGTCTAACAAAAGCCTCCCCCGGGCCCCAGCCGCTCGCGTTTCCAAATGAAAATTAAACAAACAAACAAACAAACAGCAGCTTCCCGGTTAGAGGAGACACCCCAGGACCCGGGGAAGCGAGGAGACACACAACAACCGCCACGGCCACCAACCGCAGGCAGATTTGCAACGAGCCGGCCTCCCTGCGACCAACAACAAAACCTACCGAGCCCGAAGGTTGAAAAAAAGCCGGATTTTCTCCCCAGTATCTCCAACTCAATCTTCATTTAAAATCTACTAATTAACATGCAACGTCCGTGTGACCATAAAAAAAAATCAACAGCCTCAAGTTGCACCTTCCCCCAAACCTAATTTTGTTTTGGGTTGGGTTTTTTTCCTTTGCATTTTTTTTCCCCAATTCAGATTTGTCCTCTATTCAAATTTAACAAATGCGCTGGGGGAGGAAGAAAGGACTCCTCGGCGCTCGATGCAAAGCTAAACCTCTTCTCCAACCACCTATTCTTTATTTTTTAAAACAGAAAGGCTGCAAATTTGCATCCATTGCCTTTTTTAAAGTGCTACAATGGCTCTGTTTGTTTTTCCTTGCAAAGCACCATTCATGGCTGCATTTTAAAAACCTTAGAATTGCATTAGGAAATTTGCAAACAATTGTGTTTTTGTTGGTGCTACCCGGCGCTAGGTACAAATTTCCAGGGGTATAGAGAGCAATTTACTGTAACCATTAAAAAAATGCCCTGTAGCATTTCTTTTCATTGGAGGTGCTAAGTGTAGCGTATTCCAACATGTCTTTTTTAGTATTATTATTATTTTCAATTGATATGTGTTATAAACAGTTCCAAGCAAAACACTGCTATTAATTTTTTTACAGATGTAACATCACACAGAACTACAGAATGTCCTCAAAAGAAAAAGACTAGCAACATGGTATTTTCAACCACCAAAAGTTCTCACTATGCAAAAAAAATCATAAAATTTACAATCCTGGATTTTATTTTAATTCTAAAAAAAAAAAAAAAAAGCATTTTTTTTTTAAAAAGCAAACAAAAATATAATTGCAGTTACTTACTGGAGATATGTTCCTTGCACACAGTGAATGCAATACAATTAAATCAGTAAATGGGACTTTGTATTGTATTCCTATTGGTATTTGCACTGTGCTGACTGTTGCACTGTAAATGCACTGGCTGCTCTTGCAGAAGGGAAAGGACCCTATAGTGGGTTCCTTCCAGCCTCAGCAGCTCCCCAGCCCGCAGCTCAGTCCTACAAGCAACTCTCCCTGCATACTAATAAGCTCGTGCCACTCACCCAGGGTGAGCACGCTCGCTGATTGGACGCCTGGCCCTCCACGGTAATAAGCTCGTGCCACTCTCCCTGCGTAAACAGGCCTCCCAATAGGCTGGCGCGGGGCCAGCGAGCTGCCAATCAGAGAGCAGCAGGGCTACTACTCAGCCCAATGGCGCCTAATTCAAGCCTTGCAGCTGCGCAGCTCCTCTTGCGCAGCTCCCGTCCCTGCTTGCTTGGTGAATGGGGATGCACAGCCAAGGCAGCGGTGGGGGGGGTTTGGGGGGGGAGGGAAGTGGGGGGGGGGGGGTGCACTGCGTTCTTCCAGGGAGCTGCTCCAGCCCACACACACTCCGAGCAGCTGGGCAGGAGCGTTTTAGTTTGTCCTTTGCTTTGCTGGACTGGACAGTGCAGGGGGTTCCCGCACCAGCCCGTGCTGGGAGCTCTGGTCCGAACCACTGCCTGGAGCTCTTGCGCAGTCTGATATGGGGGATTGCGGACTGGGCTGGGTACGTGGGCGTTGCACCAAACCGAGCATCCCTTTGAAGCCAGAAGTGCTGCAGGCTTCTGACGGGCCCCTCGCACGCGACGGCTCCTGTCCTGTTTCCGAGGCGGACTGGACAATACCGGAACGGCTTTGGAAAGAGCAGGGGCCCGGCTGCAGAACTGGGACATCGAGGCTCTTCCCCGTCACTTGCATCATGTCCGGAACAGGCCCTTTTTGTGCCCCCCCCCTTTTGTTTTTTTCTGGAGAAGTCGCAGGAGAAGCAGGAGACTCTGATTCACTCCCATCCACGCCTTCTCTTTCGCCCTCTTCCCCAAAAGAGGGAACCAGCAAAACGAAACCCTGCCAGTCCTGGGCAAGAGGGAGCATGACACTCGCGTCAGCTAGAACCTCCCCCCCACCAGGTGTTGGTTGTGAGACTGTTGCTGGGAAGACCCCGCGTTGTTTGTCTGTAAAGTGCCCGGGCTCGGTTCGCAAGACGCCCCGAGCCCGCCCGGCAAGGAACGGGCCGGAGCGACGGCAGACACCACTGCCACTGGGGTTGCGACCATTTCTGGGGATGTGCTCTCCACCCAGCCACAGCCCCCA